AGGGGTTTATGGAAAGGTGGGTGAGGGGTTTATGGAAAGGTGGGTGAAGGGTTTATGGAAAGGTGGGTGAGGGGTTTGTAGAAACGTGGGTGAGGGGTTTGTAGAAACGTGGGTGACGGGTTTGTAGAAAGGTGGGTCAGGGAAGCTGATACCTACATATGGCCCTGTTGAACCCAAGGACAACATGGCTATAAATGATGGGGCAGGCTTAAGGAGCTGAATGGTCACCTTTAATTTCTATGAATTGTGAAAAGACCTTTAGTAAAGAAAGCTACATTGATTCAGGGAGACCCACCTTTTCAACAAATGGACCAGCGTTAAGTGAGATGTGTGATATGAGGATAAATGTGAAGGAAAAGTGAGAGCCGAAGGTGAAATGCTCGCTCACCTTGTCACCATCTTCTCCTGGAGGTCCCTGTGGCCCAGCAGGACCAGGCAAACCAACTGGTCCCTGCACCCCATCCCGACCGGCTGGACCCGGGGGTCCTTTTTCCCCCTGGAAGACGACAGAAAGAGGCAAGTGAAAGATGGGGTGAGGGTTTACAAATCAATTCATTATACCTTGATTAACCAGGAGAGGTCGGTCAATCATGAAAGAGTCAGCGGCAGGTTTACAAACAGGCGGTCTGAGATTTAAACTGACCCTGTAATTGGATCAGAAGGATTGATGTGTCCGAGGCACCAGGTCTGTGCCACATTGCTGTTTGACCAGTTAGCCCACTATCAGGGACAGTGCAGTCACTGCAGCAAAATACTGCAGATGCTGCCTTTTTGAAATAAAAACAGAAAATTTTAGAGATACTCAACAGGTGTGGCAGCGTCATCATGTTCATTTGAATATTCGCACTCTGAAATATAATCGCTGATTCTGTCTGTGCAGATTCTGTCAGGCCTGCTGTGTATTTGCAACATTTTCTGTTGTTAATAACATAGAGCATTACCACAGACACGAGTAATCTTCCACTTGGAAAGGCTGGTGCTAATTAGTGGGAGACAGCTTAGATATTGGAAAGTTCAAACCATGTGTGAATAATGTCAGTGAGGCAGAAGTGAATATTAATCATTGTGGTGCAGTAGATGTTTAACACCTGGACTGTCAGAGGTACTTGACATTGTGTCAGAACAAGAGGCTGATTTAGAAAACAAACAAAAGCTCATAGTATTTGGGAAATAATGGCTGGTATTTTACTTTTGACCTGAGTCCTTCCAACCCCTTGTTCAGTACAGAAACCTGAGCCATGCTTTCTATTGACATTGGTCCGATGGGCTGAAGAATCTTGTTCTACAGTGTAGATCTCCATCACAGAATGATTGCAGACAGTGGTAAAATACACAGCAGCATCAGGGAACTGTGAGGTAGGGCTGTTTGGGAGGAAGAACAGGACCATGAACTCAGTGGGAAAGATTTGGGGATTGGTGAGGTCCACACTCAAACCATGTTAGTGAGTTTCTGGTGAACAGAGTGTCATGGGAACCAGCACTGCTGAAAATATTAATCAGGCAATGGGCAAGTAAATTAAAAGCTTGATCAGTGTGTGATGAAATATTTTAGTAAGAAGAACATGGAAGTAATATACAGCTTGGAAAGTAAGATTGCAAATGGGTTTGAGGTGTTGAAGTGTCTGGAAGATGGTGAGTAACTGTGAAGCCAAATACGATGATTAAAGTTACCAGTGTGAACAGCTGGTGTTCAGGTTTGGAGGATCAGAATTGGAATGAACTTGTATTGAACCTGTGCTGAGTTGTGCTCTCCAGATTCAAAACTGTTAGTGTGTGAGGGAGGGTGCAAAAAGGCAATGACAAAGTGATGGAATAGCTAACCTTTTCACTCGAAGGATTGAGGGCTGGACCTGGAGAAGGACTTTACAGTGACAAACAGCATTGATTTCACTTGCAGAAAGGAAGGTAGGGAATGGAATGTGGAACTCACTCGCACAGGGAGGGTTCGAGGTGAACAGTATTGACAACATTAAGAGGAAGCCAGGTAAACACGTGAGGTTGAAAGGATGCGATGCTAGGGTAAAGCAGTAGGGCCTCAGAGAGGCTCCATGTGGAGCAGAAACCCCAGAACAGGGCAGGTACAGCAAAGGAGCTGCTGTGTAATACTATGTGACTACAGGCTGATCTTTCAGCACCATGAAGATGGACAGACACTTACAGGAGCTCCCTTCTCTCCAGCAGGACCAAGACCCCCTTGAGGACCGGGACGACCAGGAAGACCAATTGGTCCAGCAGGTCCAGCAGGTCCTCGTTCACCGGCAGATCCCTGAAAACAATCATCCAATCAGCTGGTTTAACAACGATAATAAGCACATGTACACTGAAGATGGCTCGAGAGTTACTCAGGAATCCCACACAGCCTTATGACCAATCACATCACAACCCAATCCCAACATATTTCATAACAGCCCTCCTATCCCCAACATCCCCACAAACCCCAACCTCTCGCAGACCCTCACCCTAATGCCCCTAACCACAATGAACCCCAATCCAACTCACACAGCCTCGGTGGAAATCTGCAACTTGCTCCCCCAGGAACAATATAGATTCTGGGGGTTAATTGGGGCTTTCAAATTGATAAAAAGGGTTGGGGGATATTGAACAAAGCTGGGGAAATGGTGTTGAGGTACATATCAGCTGTATTCTGAGGGAATGGCAAGACATGTGGGAGGGATGGAATAGACATTCTCTGTTTCAAATGTACTTCTTTTCTCAATTGTACCACTTTAAGGTAGTGATCTGCACAGTTAATGAGAGGAGGAAAGAGAGAACATTCCACAATGTACTGCACCTGCCCTTGTACAGGCAATCTGACAGGACATTTCACATCAATCCGACAGGGAGTAGAATGGAGATGGAGACTGAGAAAGAGATGATTCTGGAACAAGATTGTCCTTACTCTCTGGCAGCCTGTCTTCAACTAAATCTGCTCATCTCAGACATTGGCCACTAACAGGCCTAAAAGAAAATCAAAGAAACCAAATAAATCAGACAGAGAGAAAAGTAATACCATTTAACTGCAGGGCAGGGACAGCACATGGTTAGATACAGAGTAAAGCTCCCTCTGCACTGTCCTCCAGTCAACACTCCCAGGGCAGGGACAGCATGGGGTTAGACAGATTTTTATTGATAGGATCTTGCTGTGCCTAGATTAGTTCCTGTATTTTCTTCATTATAACAGTGTCTAGACTTTCAGATTAATTTCCGAGTGTAAAGCCATGGGATGGGGTCCTGTCGAGAAGGTGTTTGAGGGATGTGGGCTTTTTCTATAATGGAATTCTCCGGATGTGGCTGTGTATGTATCAGAGCTCGAACTATTCCAAATGACAAAGACCAATGGTTTTTTAAAACACATCCGCATTCTCATAAGATAGATTATTGATTTTTCAGTATTTTATAATGGTACATAACCATCTGTGATACTTGAAGGATATTTTATCTGTTAATAGTTAAACGACACTTTCATCAAAACTGCTTTTAAATTGCTGTCCTGTGCAATAAGTATTTAAATATTATGCAAACATATGCAAATCCACAGGGAACATTTGTTTCTGATATGCACTTTTGGAATGAAAGTATTTGCCTTCAAGGGGACTTTTTTCTATTTAATCTTTTCATGATTCCGAAGGTCAAAGAATGTAAATTCTCTGTAGTTTATGCACTGCTTGATATGCTGGATTAGTTTAGATATTTAGAAAAGAACAACCAATTTGCATTTCTAAGATGTTTTCATCATTACCTGCAACTCTTCACATGCTGTTGATAGATCCCTTCAAAATCCAGCAAAGGAAACAATAACCTACATTGCTACAGCGCCTTTGGCAACCTGCCGATGTCCCAAGGCTTTTATGGACATTCAAATTCTTTTGAAGCATAGACACAGGTGTAATGAGGAAAATCAGCAGCCAATTGGAGCACAGTATGAGGCAATAAGTGAAGGTGTTGTGATGGGTGAATAGCCTGCCCTAGAAGGGTTTATGGCAAGTTATGACGTTGTTCCCTAATGCAGTGCAGATGGAGACAGCAGCCCAGTGAATGCAGTCACAGAGACACAGGGAAAGCTGCAAGCTGGACCCTGGTGAATCTGTACCCCTCCATAAAGGACATGCTGGTGCTGTGCTGATCTCACTGGACCAGTAATCCACTACTGCAGGCTAATGTTCTGGAGTCATGGGTTCAAATCCCACCGTGGCAGACACTGATTACTGTAACAATTTGGAATAAAATATTTGCCCATTCGCAATGATGGAACAGCATCCAGTGTCAGGAAAAGCCCATCTGGTTCATTACTGTCCTTCAGGGAGGGAAATCTGCTGGCCTTACCAGGTCTGGCCTACAGGTGATTCTAGACCCACAGCAATGTGGCTGACTCGTAACTGCCCTCTGAAATGGCCAGGCAGCTCAAGGGCAATTAGGGATGGACAGAAAATGCTGACCTTGACAACATCCACATCCTAAGAATGATTTAAATAAAATCTCAAGTCCATTTTCCTGATTTTGTTCAACATTCACCACAGCTGTGTCTTCAACGTTAGTCTCTCCATCTCAGTTTGAAAACCTCTCATTGGCCTCCAGCTCCCAAAGCTCTGTGTGTCAGTAAATCCTGAATTATCCCAGCTCCCTGTGGGAACCATGTCCCCTGACATCAACACCCCACAACACTTTAACGGGGTCGTAAAGATGACCTTGTGTTGCTGATTTTACTGATGTCCTTTAGTTAATGAAGAAGCTGTTAATTGTCTCCTCACTGAGACTGTGTGTGAGTCCCACCGAATAGCAATTCCCAAAAAATCCCGATTTCAATCAGTGAAAACACTCACAATGGGGCCAGTTGGGCCGATGGGACCCTCGCTTCCTTTCAATCCTGCTGGTCCCTGCAGGTTAAAGAAAAACAAAAGAATATTATTTTAGATTTCACCTGTAAGGAACCAGGACAGAGAGAGAGCGAGAGAGGGAGAGACGGACATATCCAGATCAGAACATCATTTTATCCAATAGGTGAGAGAATTGTTCATTCCGGAAGGTTCTAAATTGCAGTTATACTGCTGGGTGTGAGCTGGAGCTATACTGCTGGGTGTGAGC